CCCGAAGCTGGCTGCCTTCTCTGAGCTGAGTCATGACATCCAGGCCAGGGCCCCTCCCCGGCACCCCACCCCCACTCCAGCGTTCCAGCCCAGCCCAGCCGCCTTCCGGAGCAGGGTCCCAACGGCCACAGCATGGCAGCTCTGGAAGGGGCATCCAGGACAGCCCTGCCCACCCTGTGCGCACACGGGGAAGCCAAGGCTCAGAAAGGGGCAGGACTACCTTGCAGGTGGGTGACAGACCTGGGCCGAGGACCCACATCCCCTTTCCCCAGCCAGGGATCTGCGCCAGTTTGTCCCAGGGGACGCAGAGTGGAGAGAGGTGTGTAGAAGAGAGGACGAGGCTGCAAGCCACTCGAGCCACTGTCCCGCTTCTGCCTGCAACTTAGTAAGCCATCTCCTGGGAGTCTCAGTCCCCGTTCCCTGCGTGGCTGGGACAGCGCAGGGGAAAGTGACTTTGATATAAAGCTTTGTGTATGGCAGGGCAGGGGGCATTCTGTGGGGACAGAGATAGTCTGAGCCCCCGGGCCTCGAGCCACCAGCCTCACATCAGAGCCAGGGACCTGAGCTTGCCTAGGTCAAAACACTGGGACCCGTCCCTGGTTCTTTCTCAGCCTCAGTTTCCTCACCTGTACAGTGGGCACGGGAAGAGGGTTGGATTGGATACATGATCCCCGAGGGCCATGGAGCTCTGAGATTCCATGACTCTAACCCCGAGCCTCCATGGCTAGGCCTCCTCCTCCCTCTGGCATCTTGTTTATTCAGAGCATCCCCGGCCCGCCCGGGACTGCCTGCCCCAACGACCCCCTCCTCCCCGCAGCGTGCCTTCTCCCCCATCCCCGTCTCGCCGCTATTTGTGCCCGGCCTGTCCCCTGCCTCCAGACTGAGGGGGCCTCTGTCCACTCAGGTGCCCCCAGCCGCTCCAAACCCTAAAGCAGCTGGGTGGCAGTTCCCAGTCCTGCCCTCTGCCCCATTCTCATCTCAGAAAATGGCATTGTGCCCCCAGGACACACACGCTCCTGGCCCCCAATATTCCAAGTCCAAAACAGGAGCGGGGGCTCATTTAAGCTACTCTCGCTCCAGCGCCCCGGCACCTATCACCAAGTCCTATGGTTTCTCGGCTAAACAAGCCTCATTGCCATCTGTCTCTCTCCACCCTCTCCCCAGCCCAAACCAAGTAAGCGGAGAAGGTGGTGGTGTAGATAGAGTTCAGTCTCTGCTCTGCATTCCTGGGCAAGTTTGCCAAGTGCTCCCTGCCTCAGTGTCCCCATCGAAAACAGGAATCATCCTTGTATCCACCTCCCAGAGTTGGCTGAGGAGCAAGTCAAGTCGAAAGAGGCTAAGTGCTCAGAATGGCCGCTGGTACAGTAAATGTAGAACACGCACTGGCTTGTGTTCGGTGTCGTGGATGTGTGTTCAGGTGCGTCTGGGCCTGCGTGCACACGCTCTGTGCATATCATGTGCACACAGCTCTGCACACGTGCACGCTCCCATGGGCGTGTGGGAGGCATGCAGGCGGCAGTCTGTGCAGTGCGCACATGTGCTGGGCACGGGGAGGGAGGGGAGTGTGTGCACGCGGGGCTTGCGTGGGCAGGCACATGTTGAGTGCCTGCGTGGGGGCTGGGCACACACATGGCCCGTTGCACACAGATGTGTTTTGGAGCAGCGTGCGAGTGAATGTGCAGGCGGGGGTGTGTGCGTGTGCGTCCACGCTCACCGTATGCAAGCCTCCCTCCCTGGCAGCCGCAGAGGCCCTCCTCCCTGGCCTCCCTGTGTCGTGGGAGTCTCGGGACCCCGAGGGAGGGAAGCTGCTGCTGGCGGATGTGGCCAAGAGGGACTGGATTTATTTAGATTAAGGTGGTGGGAAAGGAGTGGAGACTCAGAAGAGCCGGGAGGAGGGAAGGCTGGGCTCACGAGGGATCCCCAAGCACGCTTGCTCCCCTGGACTTGAGGTCCTTGATTCACTGTGAGGAGCTGGGCAATTACTGCATCTTGGGACTGACCTCTGTCCCCCTAACCGGGCCAAAATAAGAGGAATCGTGAGTCCTTCCTGGTCCTCAGCACTCTCCTCATGGGCAGAGGGGGGATCCCTGAGAGTCTCCTCCTTCTCTCTATTTCAGGGGCCTCCCCAGGCAGGAGAGTACGGCAGGTCGGAGGGTGCCTGCTTCCTGACTGTGACCTCCACCTTGTCCCGGGTGGCTCCTTCCCCCTAAAGAAGGGGGAGTTGTCACAGGAAAGCCCCTAACCTCCACATCAGCTGCCTGGACCTCTCTGGGGTTGGCTGGAACCACAGCAGCCTCTGGGAAGCACAGAGGTCCGTCGGCATTAGGTAGATAACTGGGCCTGTCAGGGAGTCATCTAAAGATGGCCTGGGAGCTTAGGTCTGGGTGCCACCAAACTCCACTCTGGTTCTTCCCCGTCCTCTTCTGGCTTGCTGTCCATGCCACCTCTGGGGTTTCCGTATCACCAGCTTACTTGTCTCAAAGTCCCCTGAAAGACCGTCTAACTCCTAATTGTAGTGATGGGAAAAGTAAGACCCAGAGAGGGAAACAACTTGTCAAAGTCCACACGGCATGTCTGTGACCAAATGGTCAGGGAGATTCAATCCACAGAATGAGATGGGTTATGGATTCTCATGTGACTCCAGCCTCACTAATGTAGCCCCCTCCTTCTCATCAGCCCTCACCTCCCTAAACCACCCCAGCAGGAATAATAGTGACTAGAACCTTCTCCCTGGCCAGTCAAAAAAGCAGTTTTAGCACAGGATGGCTCTTTGAGTTGACCCATCTGAACTTCTCCCTATATTCATAGGGAAACTGAGTCCCAGAGAAGGCAGGGGACTTGCTGAGTCTCCCAGTGAGTCTGCGGTCCCTTGTGACTAGAGCCAAAATGCTCATTGCCTAAAGAGAGAACTCAGTCCAAGATCCCCGGGGCATCTATACTCGCTCTGAGCTCTTTTGACCGGCCTATCCTATCCCTAGCCTGATTCTGCCTTTTTGCTGTGTGACTAGGTCATGATTCTGTCCCTCTCTGGGCCACTGCCTGTTTGAGAAGGCCCCTCATGGATTAGAGTCTCAAAGACTCTAAGCTGCCCCCAGCCCGAGGCCCAGCAGGAGATGAGCCAGGGTCAGGGGAACTGGGGGCCCAGCCGGCATGGCCCAGCCTTCCAGAGCCAGGCCAGCCCTGGTTACAGTGACCTCCCATCTCCAGGCCAGCCGACCAAATTCCTCCTTTAGAATAATAAACAGTGTGGCCAGCCAGGGAGGCTGCGAGGGGAGGGGCAGGGAGGCTGAAATGACCCCCTCCCCCAGCCTGGGCTGCTAATGATTTTCTTTGGCTGAGATCTCGGGCAGGAAGGGGGGAGCCAGAGGGGCACCCACCGAGGGGCAGATGGGCCTCCGTGGGGGCTGCTGGCTCTGCCACGGCCCGGCTCCCTCCTGCCGGAGGAGGCCTGGCATCCAGCTGGAGGGGCTGGGGCAGGAGGCAAGGGAGTTGGGGTGTGTGGAAGGGCTGGGCTTCGGGTCTGGGACAGTGGGGAGAAAGGAGAGGGGAGAAATGAGGGGAACCTCAGGCAGGCCAGTCTGAAGGGGCAGGAGGAGGAAGAAGGGCAGAGCAGAGCTGCTCAGGGAGCTTCGTGGGGTGCTGGGCAGAGGGGAGCCTGGGGCCCACTAGTATGTGTCAATGCAGCCCTGTGAGTGGTAAGCTTCCTGTCATCCCTCTTTGAGAGTTGGAGACTGAGGACATAGGGACAGCAGTGGCACAGGAGGCAGCCGCGCCGGGGCTCGAACCGGGACCCTGGCACTGGATTGGAGAGTAAAAGGGCCAAGATGGGGAGTGGAGTGGGGGCAAGCCAGGCTTGGCCGCAGGAGCAGGACCTGGCTGGGCAGCCCCTCAGGGAAGTCAGCAGCCCCGCAGCACCAGGAGGCTCCCTGTTGCCCGGTCATGTGGTCACTTCTCACGTTTCTTGCTCTGTGATCTTGTCCACTTCTGGCCTCCTTCCTGTCGATGCCATGGGCAGACCCTTGTAAGCCTGGCCACTGGTGGTTATTTGGGACCCTCAGATAGGGCTGCCAAGGGCAGGAATCGAGCAAAGACCCACCTAATGCAGTCTGTGTCTCTGTGTTCCTGCCTCTGTCTCTCGCTGCCTCCTTTGGTCTCTGTGTTTGTCTCTCTCTGCCTCTATCATTCCAGGCCTCTTTGTCTCCCTTTCGGACAAGTTCTGCTGTGTCACCCTGGACAAACTTCTTTCCCTCTCAGAGCCTCAGTTTCCCCATCCGGACACTGGGGGTGGGAGGCTTGAATTCAGTAGTCTCCAAGGACCTTCGAAGCCTTGCCGTGCAGTGGGGCCTCCCCTGGGCCCACCCCCTGGCCCCTCTCCCCTGGGCCTCCCTGTGTAGCTTGGGGCTGAGTAGAGGGGGCCAGGCACGGAGGTGCCCCCCTACATTCCGCAGTCCTGACTCCCCCGCTTCCCTTCCCACAGCCGCCTCCACTTCCTGTTGTGCTTGTGGAGCCTGTGGGAGTTCTCTGGGCTCTGGCTTACCCCCTCCAGCTCCCCCACGCCTTTCATCACGCTTTCCCAAATATTTGTCCTGGCAGATAAGAGCCTGGTATTGGAACTGTCACCCGGAGGACTGGCTGTTGGAGCTGGCGGGCGCTGGACGCCATCCAGCCCAAGTCCCCTCTCCCACTGTACATACAGAGAAACTAAGGCCCAGAGAGGCCTGGGTTCAGCCAAGGCCACTGGAGAGGTAGAGGCAGAGCCAAAGCAGGGTCCAGGCACCCCGAGGCCAAGCCCCGTGCAGGGGGAGGGGACCCTTGGGCATGAGTGCCCTCTTGGTAATGGGACATGGGTGGTTTTTGACTTCAGCCCCATGGACATGGAGACTGGGTGGCTGGGGCTGGGGTTTACTCTGTAGGACCCACGTGCTAAGACAGACTTTGAAATGACTCAGCTCGCCCTGAGCCCTGACCCTTGTTTAACTCTGCAGGACACCACGCAGCTCCCGAGCGCCATGCCAGGTCCTGTCCTCAAAGGTAGGTACACTGCAGCTTCTGAGTGCCATGCTAGCTCCTGTCGTCAAAGGGGCAGGGGGGCCCTGGGAGGGTGGTGCATGATAGCACCAGGGCCTGGGAGGCAGGGGCCCTGCCGTGCTCTTGAACCTCAATTTCCTGCCTTTCCAGTGGCTCTCAGTGGAGGCCTTTTTCTACTGCCCACTTGACTCAGAAACCTTGGTGGACCCCTGCTTGTCCAGAGCCATTAGCTCAAATCCTTTGCTCGGTCCTCCGTCCCCTGTGGCCCCTCACCGGCTGCCCCTACCCCACTTGCTAACAGTCACCTCCGTCTCCCACCTCTTCTGAGGACTCATTGGTATCAGCCTGGCTGGTCTGCTTCCGGTCTGGGACTCCCCTCCCCTGCCTGGATCTCTCACTGGCTGCAAGCTCCCAAGGCCTGGCTGGGCTTCTCCTAGCACACCCTTCCCTCACTGCTGCCTGTTACATGCCGTCGGTGCTCCAGGGGCTGGGCGGCCGACCAGCTAGTCAATCAATGGTCACTGGCAATCAGTGACCAGCTGACAGCCTACCAAGGATGAAGGATGACTGACTGGCTGGCTGAGCACCCATAGGTCTGGGGGACGTGGCTTATAGAACCTTTCCCGGAGGATATCAGCAGGGGGAGGGGAACCAATCACCTGACCGCCCCCCCCCTCCCGCTCACACCCCAGTTCCCTCTGGCTCCCAGCGGCTGCTGAGTCTCTCCTGCCCAGTCTGACCTACTCTGAACTACTGTGCTCCACCCTCCCCGAGCAAGGCCACCTCTGGGCTTTGGATGGAACCCGGGCAGCTGGGGCAGCTGCAGGGAAGGGGCTCAGAAAGTGACCTGGGAAGTAATGCAGGAACTGGAGGCCTGGGAATTGCTTCCCGAGGATTTCCTGAGGCCTTCGGGAGAACATGCCCACAGCCTGCACACAGCATAGCTGAAGGACTCTGAGGCTTAGGATGGAGAGACACTAAGATCAGGAGGCCAGGAGGCTAGAAGGAGTCCCTGGGGACCAGGCACTGGACAAGCAGGCTTCAGAGCCACAGGTTCCAGTCTCTGTTGGATTAGGGAGGTGTGTTCTTCAAGGACTGTGCAGATATGGCCTCCTCCAGGGTCAGCCGCGGGGGGGGAGGTGCTGACGCGCCTGTGCCCTGACATCCGATGCCTTTTCTCCCAAAGGCCAGGTGCTGTTGCTGCCCCTGCTGTTGCTGCTGGGACCACAGGCCTCCTGGGGCCTGGTCATCACACCTCCAGGGCCAGAGCTTGTCCTCAATATCTCCAGCACCTTCGTTCTGACCTGTTCGGGTGCAGCTCCGGTGGTGTGGGAACGGATGTCCCAGAAGCCCCTGCAGAAAACAGCCAAGAACCAGGATGGCACCTTCTCCAGCACACTGACACTGACCAATGTCACTGGGCTAGACACGGGAGAATACTTTTGCACCTACAAAAACTCCCTCGGGCCGGAGCCTGCTGAGCGAAAACGGCTCTACATCTTTGTGCCAGGTAAGGGCCCCTGCCTGTGTGCCCACTCCCTGACTTCTCAACTGCAGGTGTCTGGGGGAAGCTGAGAGTGCTTAGTGAACACTGTGAGGCACAGCCAGCTTAGAAATGCAGACAAATCATGGAATCCAGCCTGGCTCAGTCCAGGACTGTGTTTACTCCCACCCCTTGGTCTGGATATCTGACTCCTCCCTGCCAGCCCACCCCATTCCTGGCTCCCAAGAACTCTTCATTCTCAGCAGGTTCCAGTATGCTCTCTTTTGACCTCCACATCCTAACTTTCCCATTCTCCAAGCCCCAGGTACTAGCTGCCCTTTGACTTGTGGCTTATTTTCTTTCTCACCCTGGTGCTGACCTTATCAAATGTGAAAGCTAGAAGAGACCTCTGAGAGCAGCCTTATTCTATAATGGGAAGACTGAGGGCCAGAGAAGGGAAGACACCTGCTCAAGGTCACACACAGAAATTCAGGGGATAGCCAGAAAACCAGCCACCTTGACCCTCATTCTTGGCTCCACACCTGGCAGATCCGACTATGGGCTTTCTTCCGGTCTTCCCCGAGGACCTGTTCATCTTTCTCACGGAAATATCTGAGATCACAATTCCCTGCCGAGTGACGGATCCGAGCCTGGTGGTGACACTGCACGAGAAGAAAGTGGATATTCCACTGCCCATCCCCTATGACCACCAACGTGGCTTCTCTGGTATCTTCGAGGACAAGACCTATGTCTGCAAAACCATCATCGGGGACAGGGAAGTGGATTCTGAAGCCTACTATGTCTACAGTCTCCAGGGTGAGCCCCCTTTCTGGCCTGATGCTCAGCAGAGGCAAGTATGACCCTCCGCAGAGGTATAGCCCTTTCCAGTTTTACGAAGCGTGCAATTCCGTTTTTCACTGGATTTTCACTGTAGTCTTGGAAGGCAGGTGGTGTTTCCCCATTTTACAGAGGAAAAACCTGACAGAGGTTACGGGAAGTGTTAGTGGCAGGGCTGGGCTGTACATTGGGTCAGGCAAAGGCACAGGCCTTGGAGCCAGGTGGGTGTGAAGGCCAGCCGTGCGCTTCTCGTCTGAGTGACTTTGCACAAGGCGTACAATCTCTGAGCCTACTTCTTCCTCTGTAAAATGGGGGAAATAGTGACTGCCCGCCTAGTGGGATTATTGTGAGGATTAAAGACAGAGGCTGCCTGGTGCGTGGTTGTGCTCAATGCATGTCTCCTATACTTAGATGCCCAGAGAGGACATTGGTTTCAAGACTCTTATCCCTTCTAGAATGTCAGCTCCATGAGGACAGGAATTTTGTCTGTCGTGTTTACTGCTAAAGCCTCAGTGCCTAGACTAGTACTTGGCATATAGGAAATATTTAATAAATATTTGTTGAATGAATGAATCTTCTATACCAGTCATCCCTTCTCTCTCTCGGAACCCCCACCCCATCCCCAAGCTGAAGTGCTGGTGGCTGGTGGTGGCCTCCTCATCCCTAAGCCAATCTCTCTCCATCAGTGTCGTCCATCAATGTCTCAGTGAATGCAGTGCAGACTGTGGTCCGCCAGGGTGAGAACATCACCATCATGTGCATTGTGACCGGAAATGAGGTGGTCAACTTTGAATGGACATACCCACGCATGGAGGTAACGCTGGGCCAGGGGTTGGAGGAAGGGCCAAGGAGGGATGGCTATCTTGACTTGCAGCCTAACTTCTTGGACGCGGCCTGATTTGGGGGGCTTTCCCCACCTGTCCCTACAGAGTGGGCGGCTGGTGGAGCCAGTGACTGACTTCCTCTTCAATGTACCCTCCCACATACGCTCCATCCTGCACATCCCTAATGCTGAGCTTGGCGATTCAGGGACCTACATCTGCAATGTATCGGAGAGTGTGAATGACCATCGAGATGAAAAGTCCATCAATGTCACTGTGGTTGGTGCGTGCCTTGGGCTTGGCCCCGACCCTCTTTCTCTGCCGGACCTAGACACTGTCACAGCCCCGGGGTACTGTCAGTCACATTCAAGGACAGCTCTAGCTTCATTCAGTACCAACCAGAGCCCATTTCCGGGATAAATCCAAACCAAAACACAATGTCAGCCCCAAATCCAACTCTAATCCCAGCCTAGGCTTTCTGCCTAGCCAGAACCTCAGCCCCAACCAGATTTCTAAACCTAACTGCCATCCCAGGCCCAGGCAGCCCCATCCTCAAATTCAACCATGTTGCAACTCACCTCAGCCGCAATCCTGAGCCAGAACACGCCCGGTAAGAACAACTCCAGTCCCAGTCTCAAACCTGGCTCCCAAACCAGTATCACCCCTCAGTTTGGCCCCTGCTTCCGTCTCAGTTCCAACGTCAGCCCCAGCTCCGGTAACTCCATCTCTCGTTCGGCTCCTAAAGCCTGAAGCGCCGCCCCCAGAAGGCTGGGCTCCTTTGGCATTCAGTTGATGCCCTGCCTCCGGGAACCCCGCCTCCAGGAGGCGCTGCCTTATTGGTAGCCGGGCATAGCCCCGCCCCCGGGGCACCGCCCCTGACAGCCGCCCCTTGCAGAGAGTGGCTACGTGCAGCTGCTGGGAGAGCTGGACGCCGTACAATTCGCGGAGCTGCACCGCAGCCGGACTCTGCGGGTGGTGTTCGAGGCCTACCCGCCGCCTACTGTCATGTGGCTCAAGGACAACCGCACGCTAGGCGACTCCAGCGCAGGCGAGATTGCCCTATCCACACGCAATGTGTCTGAGACCCGGTGAGCAGCAACCCACCCACCCCATTCTTGAAGTTACTCTCTGCAGCTGCCAGGCAGCCCACAGCCTTCAGCCACTGGATAAACCTAGACCCACCTTTCCCGAGAGCCCACTATGTGCGAGGTACCATGCCAGGCACTGGGGGCTGCTGCAGAGATCTAGATAGACTGCTCCATGCCTCCTAGAATTTCCTGTCTATGGGGGAAACAGACATTGTTCTGACGATCACCCAGATGTGTAGTTGTCCTTGTGACGGGTGGAGCCAGCAGGGAGCAGCTGAGGAGAAAAAGGCCAGAGATTAGGGAAGAGGGTGCCAGGCAGGCCACTACCACCTGTGCATGGATGGTGGCCGGGAGGCTGATGAGCAGGCTGACACAGGCAAGGTATGTTAGGATAAAGCAATGCCAGGCCTTTCTGCAAGGGGGAGATGTGGGGGGGAGGGGGAGAGGGAAAGGGTGCTCCCCCCACCCTCCTCCTCCTACCCAACACTCCCTCTTGGCTCAGTGGAGCCAGCTTCCTATAGGTGGGGATTCAGGAGAGTCCTGGCTTTGCTACCGATGCCTGTGTAACTTTGGGAAGCCCCTGTCCCTCCCTGGGTCTTGTTTTTCTTGTCTGTACAAGGAGGTTGGGGGGGGGTGGTTCCCATAAGAGTCCTTCCAGCTCTGGCAGCTGGGCCTGTCTTGCTCCCCAGGTATGTGTCAGAACTGACATTGGTGCGGGTGAAGGTGGCTGAGGCTGGCTACTACACCATGCGGGCCTTCCACGAGGATGCAGAGGCCCAGATCTCCTTCCAGCTGCAGGTCAATGGTGAGGGGCCCTCCACCCTGCCTCCCCATAAACCCCCAACCCCCCCCCCCCACTTCCATCAATTCTCCCTCCCTACACTGTCCACCCACCCATAGGGGGCAGGGAGCAGGTGGTGGGAGGCTGGGCTCCAACACTTCCACTGCTGGATGAACTCAGTATATCCCCTCTTTGGGCCTCAAGTTATACAAGGAGGCCACTGGGCTAGACTGGTGTTTCTAAAACCTCACAGCAAATTACATAGAAGGTTAGTAGGTAAGGAGTGCTGTAGAAAAAAAGAGCCTGGGTAGACAGGACTGAGAGTTCAGGGCGCATATAGCCTCATCCAGCTGGCCTCAGGGAGGCGACGTTTGCGTGAAGACTTCAAGGTGAGGCCATCAGGCAAGTGGCTGGTGGGAAAGGGCCCACCACGCTGTACGAAGGCAGCAGCAACAGCAGAAAGCCTGTGTGGCTGGAGCAGAGAGTGGGGGAGTGGTGGGAGGTGAGGTCAGAGCTGAGGCCTGGCAGTCGGGGGCTGGGAGGAGGGCAGACAGTACAGTCCTCTAGAGCTGCCGTAGGGACCTTGGCTTTTCCTATGACGGAAATGACCAGCCACTGCAGGGTTTGGAGCAAGGGAATGACACACTGAAGACTTACTGTTTTGTCAATTGACTGTCTAAAAATAAATTTATTTTGAAAGAGAATTTAACCTCTCAATTGTAGATGGAAAATCAGCATCACATGTCATAAATAGAAAGCAACCACTAAAATAAACTCTGAAGAAACAAAGCAATGCTATTAAATTCTAATTCCATGCTCGCGCTTTCCCAGGGCTTTCTCTGACCCTCAGACCTGCTCTTGTCTTTGTTAAAAGGGAAGATTAGCGAGTCTCAGAGAGGTGTTAGAGACAGACTAGCACCCCACTGAGGCTTCCTCTTTGAAGTACCCAGAAGGGGAATCTGTCAGTTTTCACACGGTGATTCCTGGTATTTAATGTTCACCTGCAGCCTGAAGCTCCCTTCCCCCACCCCGGGGGGAGAGGCTGGGCCAGGTCCTTCCTGAGGGCCTTTCTCATTGTCCTTTCTGACCTCCCCACCTCCTGGCCTCCTGCCCTCTCCACACAGTGCCTGTCCGTGTGCTGGAGCTGAGTGAAAACCATCCTGCCAGCGGGGAGCAGACAGTCCGCTGTCGCGGCCGGGGCATGCCCCAGCCACACCTCACCTGGTCTACCTGCAGTGACCTCAAAAGGTGAGCAGACCTGGGGCCTCTGTCTCCCAGGGTAACCACAGCTGGCTGGAAGGACCCAGTGAAGCTCGTCTAGATCAGCCCCTTCTCTGGGCACATTGTTCCAAGCTAGAGCCCAGTCCTAGGAGATGTGGCTTCTTGGAGATTCTCTGTATGACCTAAAGTGTCCGTTTCCTTACCTTGACTCATGATGAAATGAATGGAGCGGATTTTGCCATCCAGGGCTTTCCGTTCTGGGGGTAGGAGCGCCCTCTGCCGGTCAGTCTAGGGGCCACAAGAGGAACGAGCTCAGGACCAGGCATTGGGAAGAAGCAGGAACCAGAGGGGGGTTGGGGGGGGGGGGGCAGAGGGGTGGATGTAAGGGGAGCCTCCTTCCACTACCGCCCTGTGGCGCTGCTTGCCTTTGGTTTCAGTTTCCCAGTCCGAAGAGGGAAGGGACTGGAAGCTGACCCGACTGGCTCTCCCGGCAGATGTCCGCGCGAGCTGCCGCCCACCCCACTGGGGAACAGTTCCGAGGAGGACAGCCAGCTGGAGACTAACGTGACTTACTGGCCTGAGGATCAGGAGTTCGAGGTGGTGAGCACGCTCCGCCTGCGCCGTGTGGATCAGCCTCTGTCCGTGCGCTGCACTCTGCACAACCTGCTGGGCCACGACATGCAGGAGGTCACCGTGGTGCCACATTGTGAGTCCTCCCGCCTTGGTGGCCCCTTCAGGGCCTGCCATACTTGGATCCGTGCCTGTGAGCCCAGTGGGCTGGAGTCAGTGTGTCTGTGGGCACTCAGGAGCATTATGAAACCCACCAGAGTGTGTGCTCTTACGCACTCACACAACAACACAGTATTGGCATATGTGTGTACATCCATGGGTCTCTGACATAAATCATGGCTATAGTATATGTACGCTGTATGCATGTCATAAGCCATGCATATGAGTAGGCCTGATCCTTGGACGCAAGTGCAAACCTTCCAAGTGTAGATTTGTAAACCACACGATGAAGAATGCCCAACCCCCAGACACGCATGTAAAGCTGGAGTGCATGTCTGTCACCTGCCTTGTGTGTCAGCCCACCGAGTGTATGTTTATAAACCACGTATATGAATATGCCCAATCCCCAGACACGTATATAAATCCAGGAGTGTATGTCTGTATGCACGTACGTGCGCATGCACAATCCCCGTGCAGGCGTGCAAACAATGCATGTAGAATTCCTACGCATGTGTGCGTCTGTGTAAACATGGAGTTGCAGCACACCTTTCTGCGAGAGCATGCAAACACAATCTGCACACAGATGCCTGCTGCACAATGCACGTCTGTTAGAAGATACACAGACGTGCATGATTCTTGTCTATGTGAATAGTCTCCTCCAGTACCTGGATGCTCTTGCTCCCTGCTAGTTCCTGTGTGTGCATCTACCTGTCTGCTTGTACTTCGTTTACTCGCTCGTTTCCTTATTCAGTAAATAATAATGGAATAGTAATCCCCAGCTTCTCACTGGGGAAGGCCCAGCCCTGCCTGCCCTTCTAGTGCCCACAGCCCAGAGACAAGGCAGAGAAGAAAACAGACAGTCCCACTGCCGGGGTCAGTACTTTGTGGGGAAAAGCCTAGAGAGAGGAGGGGGCTCCATGTCCAGCTATGGGATTCAGGAAAGTGTCCTGGAAAAAGGAAGCTTTAGGTCAATACCTGAAAAGATAACCTGGGAGTTAGCTGATGAGGAATGGTGTTCCGGTAAAAAGGTATGGCCTGTGCAAAAGCCCAGAGGCACGATGGGATCAGAGAAATCTTGGCTGGAGAATAGAGTATGTGTGTGATTTAGGGGATGGAGAGAGGAGGCAGAGGCAAGGGAGCGGTAAAGGAGGAGCTGCAGGGGTGGGCAGAAGCCAGCGCAAGCAGAGCGATGAGGGCTGTGTGAGGCATTTTGACAGGCATGTGTCTCCGTACGCAGAGCTGCCTCCAGCCCCCCACCCCGGGATGGGATAGGTGGAGGTTTTCATACCTTATCTCACTCACACGCACACACATGCACACACATCCCTGAGCAAGTGGGCACCTGCCGACCAACTTGGAGCGAGACAGGAGTAAAGCTTTCATGTGCCACCTGGAGGGGAAGCTGTGAACCAGCTCATGGGGAAACGACCATGGCTGGATGAAGCCTCTTCTTTGTGCTCAGATGGCTCCTTGGAAGATTCAGTCTTCCTTCCCAGGACTGCCATGTGTGACCTGGTGGGGAGAAGGAGGAGAGGAGTGATGTTGGTCTGCGATCCTGGGGAAGAGGGACAGGGCCTCCAGGGGAGCCGAGAGGGGCAGGGGGAGGACAGAGGGGGAGGGAATGAGTTCTTCAGGGATCCCATGGGTGGCCAGTGGGTCAGGGCAGGGGGGATGAGGGTCTGGCCTGGGTGGGTGCAGAGGGAGGGGGAAAGAATGGGAAGTTGTGCAGCAAAGAGGCTGAGGCCTTAGGGAGGAGACTTGGGACTTGGGGGCCCCGAGTTAGCCCTACCTGGTTACGCCTGCTCCCTGGGGGATACACCTTATAACTACTGTCACTACCCCAATGCCACTGGGTACTCAGGGGAAGCAGAGGAGGAAACAGTCTGGATTCATCAGGTTGTGCGAGCTCAGTCACTCAGTCCATTGGCCACTTGGTCAGGCTCTGTCCCAGCTGTGACAGCCCCGGCAAGGGCAGAGATTCAGACGCGAGGTGAGTCTAGTCATCAGGAGCTGGCATCTAGTCTGAAGCCATGGCAGACACGTCAGGCCTGGTCAGACATGTCACACGTGGTCAGGCCAGACTGATCCTTGCAAGGGCTGAGGGATATGGGGGCCCACAGTGAGCTGAGCTACAGCTGTTACTTAGGGACGTGGGTACTTATGGGAGAGGCTGAAGTTCTGGCCCAGAGGGAGGGGCTGTGAGTCTGATGTCACGGGCATGGTTGGTGGAGAGGGGGACAAGCAGAGAGGGTTGGTGTTTCTGGAGGTGGGGTGAGGGGTGGCCAGGGCAGCTGCCAAGCTCCCTCTTTGCTTATGGCCATCTCTTGTCTCTGCTTCCAGCTCTGCCCTTCAAGGTGGTGGTGATCTCGGCCATCTTGGCCTTGGTGGTCCTCACAATCATCTCCCTCATCATCCTCATCATGCTCTGGCAGAAGGTAATCTCCCATCCTTGCCTAATGGGTGCAGACTGGTACACTATTTTCTTTTCTTTTCTTTCTTTTTTTTTTTTTTTTGCACGGAGGCCCCTGCCATCCTTGAATGTTACAGGATCTGTCCACGTCCCAGCCCAGCACACAGGGCAGGTGTAAAATGATATAGAACGGCACCGGTGTCCGAGCTGCCTCCACCCCCAGCAACAAGGGCCATCTCAGGCCTGGTCCAGGCCATCCGGGGTCCCCTGCCCCTGCTCTGCCCTCCTGGGTCTTACTTGGACATCAGCCCTGGCCCTCCCAGCCACAGGGCAAGGCACTTTCTGGGTGGACCGTGGACTCCAGAATTCTTCCATCTCTCACCCCCAGAGACTCCCAGGATTCTAATGAAACGTGTTCGCGTCCTATTAACCTGTAATTTCAATGCCCTGTTCTGTGGCTTAATTATTCTACGATCCCAACGTTTTAAGATTCCTGAGTTAAGATTGCAGCACCCATGATTCTATCATTCTATGATTCCAATCCTGTGATTCCAACATGCTATGATTTCGACATTCTAAGCTTACATCCTTCTGAGATTCCCGCTGCGAGTGACCCAGCATGGGGAGGGGCTGTCCATACCCAGCCAAGTGCCCCTAGCTTGTGTCCATTTCCGGGGCTGCCTGCCCTTCTATGCCCATCTGGGGAGCAGCCAATGCTCTGGGAGAAGCCGGTGAAGAGGTTCTGATGAGCCGGGCCCTTGGCTGTTAGCCCCTCTTCAGCCACTGCCCAGCTAAGGCCTGTTGTCACCTGTTCTCACTGAGCCCACGGAGCTGAGCTTTATCAGTAACTTGCTGCATGACTTCAAATATGCCTCTGTCCCTCCCTGGCCTCAGGGGCTCCTGCTCCATCTGTTCCGTAAGGGGCTATAGGCTCGTGGGCCCCAAAGCCCAGAACTCCTCTGACGATCCATCCCTGGTGTCGGTCCTACAGAAGCCACGTTATGAGATCCGATGGAAGGTGATTGAATCTGTGAGCTCTGATGGCCATGAGTACATCTACGTGGACCCTATGCAGCTGCCCTATGACTCTACCTGGGAGCTGCCACGGGACCAGCTTGTGCTTGGTCAGTCCAGGGAGTAGTCGTGGAGCAGTTTGGGTACTTGAGGCGGGGGGGAAGACTGTCTGAGGTGTGGTCCAGCCTTGCCATGACTAGCTTTGAGACCTAGGGCTGCCGTCCTGCCTTCTCTGGCCCTCAGTGTCCCCGCCGCCATATAATGGGCAAGGTGGTCCCCTAGGGACCGTTCAGCATTGAAGTCCTATGATCCTGTGCCTTTGTGAGCTAGGAGACCTTTGTGGCGAGAGAGGAAGTATTCATCGAAGACAGCCTGCATGCCAGGCCTGTGCTTAGTCTAGCTGGAGAGGGTGAGGCATACAGAGGAGCTGGGCACCCTTCTGGGGTGGGAAGAAGGCTTCCAGGGACAAAAGATGGTCCAGAAAGCAGGCAGAACTTAGATGAGACACCAGGAAGGCCTGCCAAACACTGAGGTCTTATCTTAGGAGACTCCTTTAGGGGAACACCTTAAGTCCAGGTGGCTTGGGGGATTGACCTCAGAGAGGATGGGGTATGCCGTTTCCTGGTGGGCCAGGAGCTGAGGGATTGTCTCTACCCCAGGACGCACCCTCGGCTCTGGGGCCTTTGGGCAGGTGGTGGAGGCCACAGCTCACGGCCTGAGCCATTCTCAGGCCACGATGAAAGTGGCGGTCAAGATGCTGAAATGTGAGTCCTGGGAGACTGCCCCTCCCTCACGTCTGGGCCCCACATCTCCCCTGCCCCTTCCCCGCACATCCAGGCACTCCCTGATTCTGATTTGCTGGGCGCAAGTGGTCCGGTCACCTGGTGGCCAGCACCACTCCAGGTTCTGCTTTGGCTAAGAGGCTTCCTCATTCTGCCCCCTCCTCCTGGCACCTCCTTCCCTCCCTGACCGTCCTCCCATCCTCTTTCTCCTCCCCCTGCACGTGGGTCCTCACCACCCTCGGCCATCTGGGTCTTCCAGCACGGGGTGGGGCAGAAGGGCCTCCTTGGGGCCTCAGTGACAGGGCAGGCCTGAGGCCCCGTCTCCCCCTCAGCCACAGCCCGCAGCAGCGAGAAGCAGGCCCTCATGTCAGAGCTGAAGATCATGAGTCACCTTGGGCCCCATCTGAACGTGGTCAACTTGCTGGGGGCCTGCACCAAAGGAGGTACCAAAACCACTCCCCCAGAGGATTCTGGAAAATGCCAGCAGCCCAGGCCTGACCCCTCCCCACCCCTCCTCAATCCACAGACAACGAGACACTCCAGCTGGAGGGTCTGTGCCCATCCTGCCCTCACCTCACAGACCCACACGGGGGTGGGGTTTACAAACTCACAGAATCACAACACTTTCAAGGCCCACGGACTCCTCGGGTCAGCCGTTTCCAAACCCCGGGGGGTGCTCTGACATTTTTTCTCCACATGTTTATTTATTTTTGAGAGAGAGAGGGAGAGAGAGAGAGAGAGAAATGCATGCGCAAGTGGGGGAGGGGCAGAGAGAGGGGGACAGAGGATCTGAAACGGGCTCTGAGCTGTCAGCACAGAGCCCGATGTGGGGTTCGAACTCTCGAGCCGAGAGATCATGACCTGAGCCAAAGTCAGACGCTTAACTGACTGAGCCACCCAGGCGCCCCAGGTCCTCTGACATTTTTAAATTTTCACAATACATTTTACAAACTGATCAATCACGGCCCCTGTGAGGTGAGTTATATCCCTACAATTGGAGGCCACCAGCATGCTGATTGGCAGTGGCTTTCATTCAGATCACAGAATAAAGCCTCTCTAGCCAGTGTGTTTATTTGAAGCTCTGATTGCAAGTTAGGCTGTAAAAAAAAAAAAAAAAAAAAAAAAAAAAAAAAAAGAAAAAAAGAAAAGAAAAAAATGTTATCGTTGTTTGCAGCTGCTTATTGTGAGATTTGGAATTTTCCTCAGTATTGTGCAACCAAAATAAAATACAGAAGTACATTGCGTACATAGGCCAATTTATGTCCGCAAGATCACCCATTTCAAAATTTTTGTTTTCATCAATATCTTCCCGTTCCCACTGATTGGCTTCAAGTAAATGTGTTGCATTTGAATTGATCCAATAACCTGATAATAAATAGTTGCCTTGATTTCCTTTATATACGGGGCTCCAGAATAAGTTGGTGATATGTACCACTGTATACTTGCCATGTGCCGGGCCCTGAGCCGCGCCGACGAAGGCGTTACCTTATGAACATTCAGGACAGCCCTTGGAGGTGGGTGCGGTTAGCCCCATTTAACAGATGGGGAAAGTGAAGCTCAGGGAGAGAGAATAAGTACCTCGCTCATGGTCGCGGAGGCGGGAAGAGAACCCAGGTTCGCCTGGTGCCAAAGCCTCTCGGCCGTCTTACCCGACTGCCTTCCCGACGTGCAGCCGGTGGTCGGCCTCAGGGTCCCGATGGGAAGTCTGTGGCCTCCCGGGGACTGTCGCTGAGCCTGTGCCCCCCTAGGACCCATCTACATCATCACGGAGTACTGCCGCTACGGTGACCTGGTGGACTACCTTCACCGCAACAAGCACACCTTCCTGCAGCGCTGCTCCGACAAGCGCCGCCCGCCCAGCGCCGAGCTCTACAGCAACGCCCTGCCCACGGGGCTCCCTCTGCCCAGGTACCAAAGGAGGCCGGGGACCGAATCTTCAGGGAGCCCCGAGGAACACCTGCTCGCTCCCTCCTGGCTGGGGCAGAAGCCGAGGCCAGGGTGGGCAGACAGGGTGTAGGAGCCCAGGCTGTTTCACGCACGGGTCAGTCTGGGACCTGGGGCTTGGCCTCCCCCGGACCTGGCTTATCACTCTGGTGATGGTGTTGGTGGGATCGGCTGCCACCTACGGACTGCCTACAGGGGTCCCGCCCTGGGCTGGGCACTCTCTGTGGATGTGAACCCTCGGCCCCTCCGTGTCGTGACACCCTCTCCTTTCACGGTGAGCACCTGGGGCTCTCCGGTCCCAGGCCCAACTCCCATCGCAACGCACGGTGCTCTGCACCCTGCTGGGCACACCAGTCTCTAGCACGCAGTCTCTGGTGTGCGGTGTCCCGTGGGCAATGCAGCGTCTTTCTTCTTCTTTTCCAAAAGTAACTTTTCCTACTTCTGCTGATGACAACAGCAAGATGGGTTTATTGCAGAGACAAGCATAACTTCAGAAAATCCTTAAAAGACATTACGGCTCACCCCTGTCCTCCCCAACATTTGATCGATTTCCTTCCGGTCTTTGGTCTACCTCTAGAGACACGTGTATATGCGGTCCCATAGCTCTCTGGGGAGCAGGTGCTGCAGGGAATTAGGGCAATTCCTGCCCCCTCTGGGCTGTGGCTGGGGCCTCCCAGGGCATCACAGCTGGATGGTGCCACAGAAAGGCACCTGCTACATGCTCTTCTTATGACCCTTATGCTGGGGTGCTGTGATCATGCCTAGGTGTGAGTTCCCTAAGGACACACACTGGGTCTTGTGTCCTCTTAGCACCCCAGTGCCCAGCTTAGGGCCCCACGGGCTGGCTGAGAGAGCTTACTGCGTGGCCATTCAAGTTGTGACTAGCTGAAGGAGGATGAGTGGAAAGAAGAAATCCCTGAGTGATAGCGCCCGGTGGGCCCTGGGGGCGAGCAGGGGCGGGAAGGGAAGGAAAAGGACAGCCTGTGGCTCCTCCTGGGATGTTCCTCTCTCCCCCAGCCACGTGTCCCTGCCTGGGGAGAGTGACGGCGGCTACATGGACATGAGCAAGGACGAGTCGGTGGACTACGTGCCCATGCTGGACATGAAAGGAGGAATCAAATATGCAGACATTGAGTCCTCCAGCTACGTGGCCCCTTATGACAACTACGTCCCCACAGGTGGGTGCACGCCTATGCACCGCCCCCTTGCCTATGTAATCATGCTTTCTTATCACAGCCTTTCTTACTGGGAGGAAGGTGGCCTTGTACCCATTTCATAGATGCAGAAACCGAGGTTAGCCACCCGCCCAAAGCTGTCCTGTGGTGGAGCCCCATCGGGAGCCTCTGTTTCTGGATCCAGCAGGGAGGAGTTGGGTTGGAGGAGTACTTGGCCTCCTGGGGTGCTGGCACACCACAGGCACAAGGCTGACCCAGTGTCCTTGAGAAGCGGGCAGGTCAGGCTGAGAAAAGGTGGCCCAGGCCTTGGGCTAATGCCAAAGGCTTTTCTGGCCAATGAGAGCACTGATAAGGTAGGAGAGGTTTACATTAGATACTTGGCAATTGTTTTCCTTTTGCGGGAGACTTAGAGGGTTAGTAGTTACCTGTATTGGACATTCGGCCTCAGTGAATAAAAGGGTGGGGGTTCTGTGGGCCATGTGGAGACACAGACAGTAACTAGGTGAACTTCTGCTCTCTGTCTTAGCTCCCGAGAGGACCTGTCGGGCAACTCTGATCAACGAGTCCCCGGTGCTTAGCTACACAGATCTTGTGGGCTTCAGCTACCAGGTGGCCAATGGCATGGAGTTCCTGGCCTCCAAGAACGTACGTATGGTTGCAGCGAGCGGAGCAGGGTCAAGGGGAGGTGGGCAACCCAAGCCAGCCAGGGTCCTCCAAGTACATAGCTCCATATGGCAGCTACGTCCCCTCACCACAACTCTGGTGGGTGAGGACAGTCAAAGCCCTCACTGCCTGGCCTCTCACACCTGTGTGGCGATGCATTTTCCCCAAAGCCCTTGACAGGGAGGTCTTCTCCTACAACTGCCCCCAAGGCCTCAGCTCCTATCTCCCCCAACCTAGTGCGTCCACCGAGATCTGGCAGCCAGGAACGTGCTCATCTGTGAGGGCAAGCTGGTCAAGATCTGTGACTTTGGCCTGGCTCGTGACATCATGAGGGACTCGAACTATATCTCCAAAGGCAGCGTGAGTACCTTCCCTGACCCGTGTGACCTGGGAACAGGTTTCCTCCTGGTCACCGTGGCTGTGGCATATAGGAGGTCAGGACGGAGTTCCTCATGGCCTACCCTGCCCAGTGGTGACAGGCTTTGCCACCGGCTGTGCATGGGGCAGGAGGGGGCAGAGATGTTAAGGTTGTACGGGTGAGCCCAGGGCTCAGATTCACTGGTCACGACAGGGGGCGAGGGACCAGCTGTAATGGCTTCTGGGAAGAGGGAAGCAGGTCAAGTGTATATTTGGTGACCATTCTGCCTGCCACTCGTGTTCCCACTTTCCATAAGGGGACAGTGAACCCCAGAGATGGAGGGTCTCTAGACCCAAGAGATCTAAGGCGGCCGGGTGAGAGCTGGGTGGCACCTTGGCATGTCCCTGGCTCCCCTGCTGTCTGCCAACTTGGCCAGGGCCTCTACTGGGATCAGGAAGAAGGGCCGTTCTGTAAGAGGCCTCAGACCCTGGGGCTCCTCCTTAGGGTAGAGGCTGCCATGTGAGCAGCTTGTGGGTGAAAAAACATGGCCTTCTGATCCTCTGGCCAGCACTGGGATGAGTGTGGGATCTGTGTGCCTGCAGAGGCGGGCTCTCAGGGTCTGGGGAGTAAGGCGCGGGGGCCTTACTAAGTAAGGAGGCCAGACCTCCTCCCCTTGCCCAGGCACAGAGTGGGGCTTGCCCTCCTGGTACTTAGTGCCGTCTTGCCCTCCCACAGACCTTCCTGCCTCTGAAGTGGATGGCTCCCGAGAGCATCTTCAACAGCCTCTATACCACCCTGAGTGATGTGTGGTCCTTCGGGATCCTACTCTGGGAGATCTTCACCCTGGGTATGCTTCCTTTTCCCCCAGCCCTCAGCTGCACGGCACACTGGCCACTCACACCCCCAGTCTGGTGGGGCCATGGGGCAGGCTCTGCGAGGGGGGTCAGGGCTCTCTGGCTCGAGTCACGGTGCTGCTGCTGTCTCGCTGCCGTGTGAGCTTGGCAAGTCCCTTGTCTTCCCTGGGTCTCTTTACCTCCCCATCTCTCGAGGGGTCTGGAAGTGACATCAAAAAGTCTATTTGACTCTGGGGTTCTCTGGTTCTCTGATTCTGGGGGTGCTGGTCATCTCTGTCCAGAGCCTCTACAAAAGCCACATCTCTCAGTGCCGAGGCCACCGCACCCTTGCCCGCTCGAGGGCTGGTGTGCCTCTCCCTGTGCCATAGAATAGGGTACCTGCCACTTTTCCAACACGTCTGAGCCTGTGTATCTCTTGTCTCTCCTCCCTGACAGGTGGCACCCCTTACCCAGAGCTGCCCATGAACGAGCAGTTCTATAATGCCATCAAGCGGGGTTACCGAATGGCCCAGCCTGCCCATGCCTCCGATGAGATGTGAGTGGAGCCTTTGGGAGAGTTTTTTTGGGAGGTACAAACCATAGATGTCCAATGTTGCCAGCTTAAGGTGAAAATAGATCAGTTCAGGGAGCTAGAAAAACCTTGCTATAGCTGGATCTAGGCATTCAGACGCCGTCATCAGGAATCTCTTGTTTTACCTGGTCTCTGCTGTCCCCTGCGCTGGCCTGGATTTCAGGCCACACGGCTACCTCCTCACTGCTTCCACCATAGTTTGAGTAAAAGGCCCCAAGCTGACTGTCAAGGGCTCAGCTGGGGTCTCGTGCCCACCCATCCAGAGCAGGGCATGAAAACTCCTACCAGCCAGACCTGCCTGGGCCGTGTGCTCACCAAGGAGCAGTCAACCCCATGGAACCACCGGTGGAGGGAGGGCCTTGAGGGAGCGGGAAAAACAGTCCCATCCACCTGTCCTCCCCAACTCCCTTCATCACCCACATTGTTCTGAGAGGCGGCATACTCTGAGCCAGAGACCCTGACCCCCTGTGCACCTCTCCCCAGCTACGAGATCATGCAGAAGTGCTGGGAAGAGAAGTTTGAGATCCGGCCTCCCTTCTCCCAGCTGGTGCTGCTTCTCGAGAGGCTGCTGGGTGAGGGGTACAAGAAGGTATGTCGGGGCAGCGAAATGGAGAGTTCTGGTCCAGAAGTCAGACACTG